GAGACTACTTCTGCAAGATGCACTTGTATGGATAGAATTGTCCATTTCTTGTACCTATTTTATATCCCGTTGACACTCACTGTTTGGATTCATATATAAAGAATGGGTATTTGGGTTCATTATTTGAGAATATTGTGCACTGAAACCATATTACAGCATTAGCTAATTCTTTAATAGAGGAGAAAATTTGGTCAAAAATGGTTCCAAATTTATAAACATTTTTCTTAGCTGCCTTTTTATTGATTATGATAATTAAAAGATGAACTATATTGTGAACCCCTAATACTGTGCACATCATTTTAACCTGTCAGGAAACTCATTCAGAACAATGCCTCGATTACGATGACCCGGTGAAACTATAATACATGATTTTGTATTTCTAAGAGATTTATTGCAAAATTATTGCGTTAAGCTACCAGCAATCATTAGGTTATAAATAAAACATACATACTGCAGATACAGATGTCTTGAGGTTTTAATGAAACAAGTTTATTTTTTCCCATGTGGGACATCTGAAGTTATTTATGTGTACAAGGGAGCAAAATACAGTTGGTTCTTGTTAAAGTAATAACTTGGTTTGAGAAAATGAGAGGAAAAAGTGTTGACTGAAATGATAGGAAGGAATTCTGAGTGCAAAAACTCTGCTGGACATGAAGCACAGGAGCAATTCATGCAGTTTAGATACAATGGAATACGGTTAAGCCGGACACATCGGGGCTGCACGTTTTGTCTGGCTTAAGCGGTGTCCGAGGTTAACAGAAGTTCCATTACCTCTTCCCGCCCAGCAGCGGAGCAGCGGCGGCGCTGCCTCCATCCCATTGCTGTTCCCGTTGGACGGGAAGGAGATCAATCAGCGGCAGTTCCGAGGTGATTGACAGCCTTGGAGCCGATTGTGAATGATTGGGCTCCAGCTTTCAGTCAATCGTAATTTGACTCCTCCCGTTCCCTCCCTTGTTTCTTCCCTGTTCCTCTACCTCCTTACTGATTGACAGCCCAACTCCAAACACTTGTGAATGGTTGGAGTCTGTTGTCAATCAATCACAATTTGAATCCTCCAATCTCCATCCTGAAGCCACTCCTGGCTGAATAAAGCCGCTCGAGACACAGAAGACGCGAGTGAGTACCTTTAGCAACGACCAGTGCGGCATTTTATCCGGATTAACCGGATTGTTCTGTGAATTAACCTGCATATTTAAAACAGATAAGAATATAAATGAATCGGGGCTGGGCGTTTTGTTGTATTTACTCAGTGTCCAAGCTTAACTGGCATCCAGTTAAAGCGGCTTCCACTGTATTTGCTCTTTATTTCCTCAAAGCTTCTGCAAGATGCACTTGTATTGATAGGATTGTCCATTTACGTATTGATAGGATTTGTCTCAAATATGAATAATCACCACCTGGGTGTGGTACCAGAGGACAGGCAGCGTCCAAATTCAGTAAAGCGGCAGGGTTCAAGGATAGCAGTTTCATACCCATGTTCATTTTGTTGAACTGTGAAAACCTCCCAGCAGTGGAATTATAGTTTTTATATATCCAAATGTATTATATTTGGAGAGCATTTGAGCTGTGCAATACTGGGTGAAGTCCTGTGGGGACAAATTCTGTTTGGGTCTAGATTTATTCTATTTACTGTGGGGCCTCATTATAACACAGATTATTATTATGTGGGATGGCTTCCAGCAAGAGTAGAGTGTGGGACCACATTCACTGTACTTGCACACACAGGGCTGGCTGGTCTCCACACATCAGCCATCTGAGGTCTCTACTAAAGAAAAGTGTGACTTAGGTGATAGCGTGATGACCCAGGAGTTCATTTTAACTGGACCAGCCAGCTACACGCATCTGAAGTATACTATTTGCGTTGTAAACTAATCGGGTGTGGATCCCTGACTGTCCAGCGCCTTAGGATGTCCTCCTGACGTGAAAGGCGCTATCCAAATGTAATTTATTGTTGTTATAATGATGTTCTGTACTGCATTAATAATAATAATAATACTACTTCTCCTAATAATACCAATTCCGGAAAGTATTAAGCGCAGGTTAGCAAGAGTCTTGGCCTGGGGATCCCAGAGTGTGCGTTGCGGTACTGCTGGAGTCCAACCAGCTAAAACCACATAGCTGACCATTGATATCACTGTCTGGGAACCTTTCTTGCTGCTTGTCCAGCTAGGACCACCTTATCCGGAAATATGGTGTCGTATAAACCATATAGTTCCTATAATCGTCGGTGCGACTAGGACTGTTAGTAAGACTATTCAATAATGGCTTGACAAAATACATGGTGATCAAAATATCAGCCTCCTGCAAAAAAGTAGCTATTTTAGGAAGTTCAAACATACTAACAAAAATAACATCCAGCGGTATGTAATGTTATTGGTCTGGCTCACTCATCACTGAAAACCATTTAGCAATTACTCTTACAGAGTGATTTCAAACTCTAATAACATAATAATAATGATAATGATTATAACCATAATAATGAATTGAGTAAAGCTAGACTCTGGTGGAATTTCTCTCCACTGTTAGTTACAGATCTGGCAATGTTAGCAATAGTTGTGGAAAAACTTGCGATGCTGAATAAAGATCACCATCCAAGAAACCTGCTCCACAATATTAACAGATATTGCCTGAAGTGCAATTTTTCTCATAGCTCATTGTTACTACTGTACTACTGGATTGTTATCACCAATATCTTTTTTTAAAAAAATCAATGAAGAATTATAATTAGCGTTAACATCCTTTCATTTGTTTTGATTGACTTTTAAATATTGTTGGTTAAGTAGTGGCAGTTACATTATCGGGAACATTGGTTTGCAGGAGTTACTGAGTCCATTAGTGTAAATGAACTGAATCAACATCAGTAAGGATGGTCATTAACCCAGGGTGCTTTAGCTCCAACTATGTGTGTTAATTAATCTCACTTGTATTGTTGGCCTCAGCAGCTCATCCATAGATTGTGCCATCAGTACACATTGCTTAAGCAAAAAATTAGAAAAATTAAAATAACTAAGTAAAAGGGATTCAAGCCAAGTGCTTGAGAGAGAAAATCACAAAAAGTAATGAAGAGATTTGAACAACACCGCAATGTTGTCTCACTAATTCGCTATATATTTTATGGATTTGCTATAGAGATTGAGATCATTTATATTTTCCATATAATGATTCTGTTGGTTTGAATTACTATTTCTCTAGTGTCCATCATCTAATTGGTGGTGATGGAGTCCTGTAGCTCAGTGGTTAGAGCACTCAACTTGTAAGCGAGAGACCTGGGTTTGATTCCTGGCAGGGCGAAATGTTGGGCAAGTTTCCTTACTCCACACACCTCTGTTTACCGACCAGTAAGTAGGAAACCGGTTGTTAGTTGATTGGCGAATCGCTTTTCTGGGGATAATAATCCCTGAAAAAAAATAATTTGGTCACTCAATCCATGACTGTTTGTGGGACACTGCTGTGCGAAATTGGCTGCTGCGTTTTGCCCACAATTATGCAGTCAATTCACTTTACAGTATATTCTGTGAAGCGCTTTGAGACGTCTAGAAGACGTGAAAAGCGCTATATTGAATGCAAGGATTATTATATTATCACCCCCAAAGCTTTGCTCTGCTTTACCCACAAGCACCCTGTTCCAGAATAATAATAATAATCCTTGCATTTGATATAGTGCTTTTCACGTCTTTGTGGTGAGAAGTGCGAGTTGAGAAAGTTGAGATTTGTCCAAAAGGGTTAGAAGTATTAGGTCTAATGGTCTTTCTAGGGGTAGTAATTCCACCTGGGTCCAGATTTGCTTTATTCATATAACATTTTGAATCCCCCTAGAATTTAGCAAATTCTGAAATAATAAATAAAATAATAATCCTTACATTTGATGTTGTGCCTTTCACGTTGAGTGGATGTCTCAGAGCGCTTCACATGATATATTGTAAAGTGAATTGACTATACATTTGTGTGTGAGGGAGAGGGAAGACGACAGTAATGCATTCCATGGAGATGCAGATATTTTCTGGGAAACATTAATTTCAGTTGGAACATCTAAAGAAAAAATGCTGAATTGATGCATTGTTTCCTGCTTGATCTGATTGCCTGGCTCTGATTGAACAACAAACATGACCTATGAGATGAGTGCGACACTTAAATGACAACAGTATACTGGTAAATATTTGGGACATACTGATAAGTGGAATTCTTTTTTTACTGGTCAGCAAAATGTAATCCAAGTGGTTTTCATTTCCAGATCTTGTTGCATTTCACTTCTGCATGTAATCCAAGAAGTTTAAAGGGAAACAATCCGGATGTTGTGTTGAATATATGACTTAAATGTGGCAAATTTAACTCCTGAATAGATCCACACTCTGAAAAGTACACTGGGTCTATCAGAAGCCACTCGCAAAAGTTAGAAATTTATTTTGTTACATATTCATAATAGAATTGCATATACTGGGAGACTGATGAATTATCATGCAGCTAATTTACATACGGCAATGCCGCAGGAACAACCATGAAGTGAATGACCAGTTTTATTTGGGGGATTGTTGGCCAGGACACTTTTAGAAACTCCTTGTATACTATTTATATTCATATAGTACCTTTCAAATTAGGATGCGTCTCAGAATGTGGAGATACAGTTGTTAGCTGAATGTTGCTTCAGTATCAATTATTCCAACTTAATTCAATTCTATATTTTCAGGTCCAGGAATGTTCACAAACCAGCATTCGCTTGTTGAATAAATATTACCTGAAATGAACGGTCCAAAACAAAAGAGTGTTTTTAGGTGGATCATGTTTATTTTATTGTTTATATTTTTAAAAGGGATTCTAATGTTGAGCTTGCTGTTTAATTGCTCCTAGTAATAACTCTTTGTTCTCCAGCTCTGCAATGATTCTCAAGAAAACTGGTCTTAAAACCAATTATTTAGACAGTCTGATTTATCCTTCCATTGTTTGGCCCTCTTGACTGCTTCAGTCCTAGAATGAAGTTTGACCCTTTTTTTCCTGTTCGACAGGGGAATCTGGTGACTCCTACTCGGGATCGAGATATGAAGACAGCTCGGATGATAGCCAGAGTCTAGGCCATGCTCCATCAGGGCCTTCAGACAGTGCTTCACTGGCGTCTGATAACCAGGATGATGGTATGTAGTGTTTTTACTTCTTACATCAGTATGCGGCTCTGGCTTTGCAACCACGACTTTTACTGCTGTTTTGATGCTGATCTTGGAGTGCCTGATAAGGAGCTGCCTGTCAGCAACAGGGTTAAGGGATGTTTATCTTTGCAGGGGAGATAGCAAGAATTCTCGAGCACTCTCTAGTGGTTTCAGGAGAGCTGTGACCTGTCAATTACACCGACAGGGGAGCAGAAGAGGATCAGCAGAATTGTCTTTGGGATGAATTATTTGTTAGGGTGGGGATGCCTTCACTGGCATTTAAAAATAACCTGAGGCCCAACATCTCTCACAGTCTTAGTCTTACAACCATTGTCCTGGCCCACAATCCCCCAAGTAAAATTAGTCATTCGCTTCATGGTGGTTTATGGGACATCGTTATGTGCAAATTAGCTGTCACTTTTACCTGCAGGATGCACCATAACTACAGTCACTACACTTTATGGTAAATCCTGGAGACATTCTCTGGATGTGAAAGGTGCTGTATAATGCAGAGATTATTAAATTGCCCCTTGTGTGTAGCTCTACAACAGTTTTTTTCACATCATTCTGGTAAGTGTGTTTGTTTCGTAACATCACATCAGGTCACGTTGTATGTAAAATGTGGCCTACTAAGGTAAAGCTTTACAGTTATGGCCTTGTTCTAATTAACTCCCTCCTTTCTTCCGCCTCACTTCTTTCTTCTGCCTCTCCTTCCCACACACACCTAGTCTGGTCAGAATTTCAGTTTCCCCCTTCCCCCCCACCAATCTAACTAATGGATTTACAATTCATGAAATTAAATACTGGAGACACTGGAAGAGATAGTAATTTAATGGTGACCTAAAATTAATAATGGAAAAATATTGAAGTGATGACAAAGTTCAAATGTAATTACTTTAATCTGCCAAATTTGACATTTAATTAGAAACTAAGTTTTAAGTAGCTCTCTAATATTCATCCTTAGGGTTTTTAAGTGAAAAGTGATAATATTAAAAGAGAAAAAATTAGTGTTGTCATTTAAATTTTCCTTCTGATCCTACAAAAAGTATTTTAATCCAAAATGCTGTCTAACATGGTGATCTTTAAACACCGTAGAATTTGCCATAAATATCTGTTTTAAGTTTAAAATTCTAAATTTATGAAATTATAATTAAGTGAAAAAGGTTATTGTTACTCATGTAAAATATCTCATATGACAATCCCAATTTTTGTTTTTCTTTTGTGACTTTCCTCCTTTCTTCAGCAGGTTCTGACTCATACTGGGGTAGTTTTCCATAGACTCCACCATGGAAGTTCTTTCCGAATTACCCCTTTCATTCTATGAACCTGAATAGCAATTTACCCATGGACGAGGCCATTCCTCTCCCCAACTTCCCACTCATGTTCAACACATATATACACATTCTCTCTAAGTTGATTCAGTTGGTAAAGATACATCCCCTATGATATGGAATCGTACAAGGACAGCTAATTTAGCTCAGACTGGAAATCAAACCCAGGGCCTTCTGTGTCTGATGGCTCAGTTTCACATAGTAATTAACTTGCCAGCTGAGTCACCAGGGAGCCACAAAAATTGTGTTAAACCTTTGTTAAGAGTAAAATTTACAAAAACTAAGCAAGTTGATATAAAATTGAACATCCTTGAGGTAACTCCTAGATGCTTGCAATGCTCTTTAAGACCTAGTTACTCACAGACAGATAATGCACTCTGTTCAGCTGTGTTGTTCATTAAACGGAGTAATGACTGCTGATGTGACAGCCACTTTGCACAGTGTTTATTGTTATAGGTACAACGGACAGATTATAGCTGTCCTGATGCTGACAGATATTCAAAGAGCTGCAAGGATAAACTTAACCCATAAATTAAGCTTAATTACTATGTACTGCATCCCTATCTCTTGAAATGCTGAGGTTTGCTGTGATAGTTGTGGTATCAACAGATCAAATTTACAGGGAAAATCTTAATAGGGCAGTGCTGTGCAAGTTATATTGTTCATAAATGGTGGTGGTGTGATGTAATCATTGACACATGACAGCATGGGTTTCTTGTTACTAATTTATTGTTCTATGTTTTTAAACTCCCAACTGGGGTAGCATAAGCAAAATGTGCATGTCAAGCATTGCAAGGATAGTCTTCGGGCACTAGCTACATTCATGCATGAAAAATGGGCGGTCATTTGGGAAAAGCTCCAGAGGACTGCTGGTACCAGTGGAATCATACTACAATCATGCCACAACACCAGTCATTGGCCTCATAAGAGAGAAGATTGGAGCAGGAAATCTTAAAAATGCTAAGACAAGAATAGGGCTGGAGTATATACAGTAATCTCCTGATAACTTGACCCTAGCTTAATTTGTCACTACCACTTACGTCATCATTATGTCAGTATCTCGGTTGCATTTATGTATATATATATAGCTAACTCTCCACTCTGGATCATGCGTTACTGAGCCCTTTTCCCTTGGAGTGATGAGTTATCAGGAAATTACTGTATGTCACCTGCTGCTTGGGATGTCCTCCCGACGGGAAAGGCGCTATACAAATGTAATTTTGTTGTTGTTGTTGCTCCTGGTAGTTTGCTCAGCAGCAGGGTTTCAGGGCAGGTATTCTCTGTTTATTCTAAGGAAGTGAACCAGCATAAAATAATAATATTCCTTGCATTTGATCTAGCGACTTTCATGTTGTCGAGGTGCCTTAAAAGAGTTTTAACAGGATAGATTATAAAGTGGAATGACTAATTTATGGACAAAATGCAGCAGCCAATTTGTGCACAACAACAATAATAATAATGTACCGGAGTGCGTGATCAATTTTAGTTGGGGGATTTGTTGGCCATGACACCAGGAGAAACTGCCTTCTCTTTGCAAATAGTGCTTGGGATCTTTAATGTCCACTGAACAGGCAAATGGGACCTCGGTTCAATGTTGCATCCGAAGGATGGTACCTTTGTCAATGCAATACACTGCATTACATTGAAGTGTCATCTTATACTATGTGATTCCATGTCCAGACATGGGGCTTGAACCTTCTGACTCAAAACCAAGAGTGTTACCACAGCGCCAAATCTCCCCCATTAAAATAGTAACTTAATAGGAGTTATCTTCAAGGAATAAAATAGCAACAACAAAATTACATTTGTATAGCACCTTTCACATCAAGACAACGTCCCAAGGTGCTCGACAATAAGTGTTTCGGATCTGAACTGGGGGTTGGGATCGGGGAGGGTGGAGGGCAGGGGGGGAAGGAGGGTGACCGACGGCATAGTCAAAGAGGAGGGTCTTGAGATGGGTCTTGAAGGGAGGGGATAAGGCGGATGGAACTGTGGGTGGAGTTCCAGAGGGTGGGGGCAGAGTGGCTGAAGGCCCGCCTGCCAATGGTGGGGCGGGCGTGGCATGGGACGTGAAGCAGGCTAGAGCTCGCTGAGCGAAGGGATATGGGATTAGGAGTTGACATCTAAATAAATAACATTTCTGAAATTGTAAATTTTGCCCTATTTCCAACCTCATGAGTCCATTAACTATTTCTTGCATACTATCCCACTTCATTAGGGAGACTGGGCAACTAGCTCATAGGTAATATCAATGAGGCATCCTGGTTGACTCAGCAAAATACATGTTTAAGTGGCTATGTGAAGTGCCTAGTTTTAAATGATCCTTAAATGACCTTTCTTGACTAATGACCGTCTAATATTTTTTGGTTCAGCCGTTTGTCTGACACCATGCATAAGAGTATCCAAACTAAACTGAGAGATATATATATACATGCAAATTCCCAAGATATTTTAATGGAATGGAGTGTGCACACTCTCCCTGGAGATATGTATTCTGCTATCTGTCTATTATAAAGGCTTATTACTAAATTGCCCTCTTTAATGTAACAACTTTGTATACTCACAGTGGTGTTGTAGTTGTGTATTGTGTTCTATGGTACCAAAAGCAATGGCGCAATATGAAATGAATGGAATGAAAAGAAAGAGAGTAGCAATAGATTTAATGTTGGAGCAGGTTTGAAGTGCTGAATCTACCCCTATTAAAGGAATTTGATATTTTGGACCAAGAATAGTCAGTCAGGTGAAATCTTGTCTCTGACCACATCCCACCAGCATGTTGAACTGAGAAACACTCAAGGGAGGAGGTCAAGATTTTGTTTCTGAATGAATATATTGGATGGAGGTGAATCAAATAGACAATGATGAGTTATTTTGATGGGCTGTTAGGAGTTTCTGCCGCTGGGTAGATTGCAGCTAGAATCATATATATTTCATATAGATGTGCTGAAAGAATGAGAGCACCTTTGTGGAAAAGACTCAGTGCTTTTTGATACCTTAATAAGACTGCAGCAATGAAATCCAGTTCATAACCAGTTAGTTGCTTAGATACTATACATTGATATTTGCAGAATGTTTTTGCTATATTGCCCCATAAATTAAAGCAATTGGAAATGTTGGTTTGGCGTGGTTGAATTTGCTAGCAGAATGCATTGGTATCCAGCATTATCCCCGACCCCACATTCATAGTTAAATAGTCTTGCTGATGTGCTCTGTCTTGGCATGAATGTAAACAATGATCATTTGACAAGGCTCCAAATGGTGCTGGTATCCTTTTGTCTGCAGAGGGGAGAAAATTGACAGACAAAAATTCTTATGAATAATTAGCCTTATTCACAATTTTGGACTTAATATTTAGTCAAATGTAGATGTTACATTTTAACCTGCTGTACGACCATGAATTCACGGTTGATTGCATTGAATGCTATGTAGATAGGATCTTCTAAACACATTTGAAGACTCCAGCAATGGGATTGGATGCCTCGAGGTATCTGTGGCGTTTGGAGGATTAAACGTAGGTCACTTGTTTTTTTTCCTCTGAAACTGAAATTAATTGGTTTAATTTTATGATACCCACAAAAAAGGCTTTCTAAAGAACCAGCTTTGGTCTTCATAGGATAATCTAAAATATTTATTTGTGACTCTATTTAACAACCTTAA